GGCCTAAGCTGCCTATCGGAGGGAGGAACCGTAGTCCGGGTGGGAGGGGCAGGTTGTGAAGCTTCCTTCGCTAGTTGTTGCTTCTCGTAGTTCGCATAGATCAGCGGTGCGGATGCTTGCAAGTCTGCTCGTGAAAGCCACCGTGTGTCATCGCGGTCGCACCACTTGAATGTGACCTTGTAAAGCATCGGCTTGTTGCCGTACTTGCGGTGTGTGACGACGCGATCGATTTCCTGATGATCATCCATAGATGGAGGGTCCTGCAATCGTCGGTCCGGGAAGTCGTCGCTCTTGGCTGATGTATATGTGGCCAGCTTGGAGGTGTGGAAGACCGGGTGGACCGGTAGATGCGGCGGGATGTCAATCACAAATGATGGGCCATCAGCCTCGTTGCCCGCGGCTGATGTGATGGTCCAAGGTCCAAACCACTTGGGGAGTAGCTATAACGAAAAGTTTTGATTGAGCGCAAAGTCTTCCACAGAGACCCAAACAAGGTCATCGGCGCGGATAGGACATGGCACGAGATGCCTATTGGCTTGCTGCTGCATGTGGACTTGAGCCTTGTGCATGTTCGCGTGGGCTTGGGCCAGCAAGTCTCGGTACTTCCGAACAGAGGCGGGAGAGCAAGGGGTGTCAATGTCGACAGTCTGCGGAAATGAAAGATCAGCAAAGATATGGCCTTTCCAGCCACCGTGGTGCAACTCGAATGGAGTCACGCCGATCGCCGGATGCAACGAAGTGTTGTAGGCGAACTTGATGTCAGGGAGGCGGTTGATCCAATCCTTTTGGTCCAGACGGATGAGCGTACGGAGCATCATTTGAGCGGTTTGATGTGCCCGCTCCGTCTGCCCGTCCGTTTGTGGATGTCACGCCGAACTCGGTTTCATCTCGGTGCCTGAATCCTTCATGAGACAAGTCCAAAATGCCAACATGAAGTGAGTGTCGTGGTCGTTGACGATGTCTTCCAAAATGCCGTGGCCACAAATCCAGCCAGTGTGCAAGAGTCGCACGAGCTCGGGAGTCGGGGCGTGATACTTGCAAGGAAGGAATCGCGCGTACTTACTCATACAAACAAACGACCGTGA